GGGCAAGCCCCAAAAGCCTCTGGCTGAAGCAGCTGATGCCACTGCCGCCTTGCTCAACCCAACCCAACCCAGCCCAGCCCAACGCTCTCCCATGGAGACACTCACAGCCCCAGCCTCCTGCTCTCCCCTCAGTCTCCTCCTTCGCTGCCCCCCCAGTTTCTCCCACCACCACGGTGCTTATGAAGCCACAGGTCATACAGAAAGTGCTGCTTTTGCCAGGGGGGTTCTGGCTGACGTCAGCCCCTGCGCCAGCTCCCTCCCCTCCTCGCACAGCATTCCCAGATGGGGCTTGTCTACACGTGCTCTGCCTGGACAGTTGCTTCCAACCTATTTGTGACCGTCCCTCGCTTCCACCAGCCCCAGCCTCTCACGCTTGTGGCAGCACAGCCAGCTTTGGGGAAGGGGGAATGAGAGGGGGCAGACAAGGTGACAAAAGCCCCGAGGAGCGCTCCAGCCGTGGAAAGAGCTGAGCGGCGGTTTGCTTCTGCTCCCCGGCACGACTGCTGCGTGCAGAGTAGGGCATGGCTTCCCCTGGGACCTGCTCTCCTCTCCAGCCGATCCATGCACCTGGTTAGGGGCACAGTAAGAGAGCAGAGGGAAGGCAGTATTTCAGCCAAGGGAGCAGGGGAAAGCAAGACTAGGGTTCAGAGGCAGCTGTTCCAAGCACTCTGGCCTGAAATGGCCCTCGCTGCAGCACCTCTGCGACACACCGGTGGTTCCCAGAGAGACTAAGACATTCCTCAAAGGTCACTCCAAGGGCACAGCGCGAACCTTCCCCATAAAAAATTCTCTTTAATCTCTCCAGTGCCTGGGCTGGCTATAAATTGGCACAGCTAATTTGAATGGAAGTGTTAACCACCCACAGCCAACAGCTTCGGTCCGGAAACAGCAGCAAGAGGATATGGTGGGAGGCCTATAAACAGCAAGTGATGCCGAGGCAGCCAACCGGGCCGCTGTTTACAGTGTCTGATAATAAAGAGAAGCCAGAGGGCAAAGAAAAAAGGCAACATGTCTAAACACATTAAAAAGATGCTTTTTGGCAACCTAATTAGGACGTGGAACTTGCAAACCTGCTCGCATTAAAAATAAGCTACATGAAAGCAGGACTTACTCGCACCCGAGTACAGCGATCTTAAATGTCACACGCGGAGGTAAGTGAGGGCGTGCAGCTGTTAGGTCTCATGTCTTCTGGCTCTTGCACCTCTTTACAGGGCAGATTTTTTTAGATTTTTACGTTTCTTTCATGGAGTGAGACACTCGGAGGTGCAGGGTCAAGAGGCTGGCCACTGTCTGACACCAAGCCCTGCAGACCGGCTGCACCATTCCACTCCAACCAGTTCAACCAGGGAGGCAGGTCGCGATTTCTCGCCAAATCCACGCCCCGCTACACTTCCTACAGCCTGCCCGCTCGTCTGCAGCTTGGGGTGCAGGATGAGAGGAGGCTGTCAAAGCCCCAGCTCTAAGTAAGCCCTGACAAGCCCCACACAAGCACAAGGAAGTAGGCTGTGAAAAGCGTACCTTCATCGAGCTGCTGCCAGCTGAGATGTAAAGTGGGAACTTAAATGGAATTTAATTTTCCAAAAACTCGTACTGTGCTGGGCTGCGAAAAACTGGGGTAAAACCACAATGGGCTCCTGAGCAAACAGAGCTAATGCAGAGGAGAGAGTGGAGGCCCTGGATCAGGCTCAACACATCGTCCTCAGGAACTCTTCATCCCTTCCAAACAGTGCCTGGTCCCAGCACTCGCAGTCGAGCGGTCCCCAGCCCCTGAGCACCCCACAGCTCCAGTGAAGAGATGAACAGGGCAAAGCACCCACAGCATCTGCTGCACACCCAAGGGAGAAGCACCACTGCCGTTCCCCTCCCTTTAAACCCAGCTGCCCCAAGCAGCCAGACTCCAAACCACATGAGCCTACGATTTCAGCACAGGCAGATTCAGAGCTCAACTTCAAATCACGTTTCTCACTACTGAATTCCCTATTGACCTTAGATCCAACTCCAAGAAGGGCAGCAACACTTGCTGGTGATCAGCAGCCATCAAGCATAGCCAGGTTCAGGGCATGGTAAGGCAGTCGCTACTTCAGCCACCCATCCTTCAGTCCTTTCTACTCCTTCAGCGATCTCCAAACAACTACAGAAGCAGCACAGTGTGTCCTCGTGAAAGGAGGAGAGCAAATCCCAGCCAGGTCACGTCCAACATCCCTCGCAATTCTTCGATCTGCCAATTCATGGGTCTTGTAGCTTAATCATATCTTGGGAGCGGCTGCTCTGCTCGGCAGCACAGCACACAGCCACGTGGGAAGGCGATCCAGGGCAGCAAGCCTGTCTCCTATGAGATGTCAGTTTTCACGTCGCTTGCCCTCTGCCTCCAAAGCACATATCCAGACCTCGGTAAGGGATGGCAAGCATTTGGCAGACCAGCTCCAGCACAGCTAGCTAGCAGCAGCCCCTGATCTGCCATTTCAGTTTCTTGATTGAGAGTTTGCAGCCTGAAGGCACAAGCCAAGGTACTCCTCTAACAGCGATTAAAGCACATCTCCTGTCTTTCAAGCTTCTACAGAAGTAGCTTTCTACATGAGGAGGAACATTTGCCTCCCAGCCATTTTACAGCAAGATGCAGGGTCTCCGCTGCTCTGCGCTGGCCAGATACAGCACCTGCAAATGATGCTGCGCCTGGTCAGGCAAAAATTGGGGTGACAGAAGGAAAGCCCCTCTCTTACTGCAGCAAGAATCTGAACCCAGCAGGGTGATGGTGTCACAAGCAACATCCAAAAGCAAGAAAATCTGGGTTACCAGTCCTGTCCTGACAAGCATGCATCCTCAAATGCACTCAATTATGCCCAAATTCAGCATCTTCAGGGAAGAGAGAAAAGCCTCTGCTTCCTACAGAAAGCAAAGTGCCCCCCTGTCATTAGGCAGAGAAAACGGCGGTTTCTGAGTTCAGCATAAGCAAAGAGTGCTCAGTGACTCAATTTGTGGATGGAAAGCATCAAGGCAGGGAAGATGGGACAGCTTGTTATAGGCTCCCGGGGCTTCTTTGAAAGTGCCAGGGTGATACATTTCCAGCTCTCGCAGCCAGCCGAGAGACCCAAGGAGAGATCCTGCGTTTGAGACACTTACAGGCAAGTGCTAGGGAACTCATCCGGGAAGCTGCAAGGGAGAGAGGCGTCTGTGCTCAGGATTGCCTGCTCCCGAATACTGCCACACCCTGTCACCATCTGCCAGCTGCCAAAGTCTGTGGAAACGGAAGATCCGGGCAGAGAATGGTCCGCCGATCTGGGGCAGAGAGAGAGGGAGACGGTGTGATCAGTCAGGTCATTCAGCCACACGCCTTTCACTAACACTGGTGCCAGGGACCCGCTGGGCTGGCTGCCAACAGCGCCTGCGCCAGCAGCTTTGACACTCCTGGGACCAGGGTGCAACACGCAGCTTGGGCCGGGCCCCAGGCCAAGCCTTTCCTTTGAAAGCGAGGGGAGAGCCAAGCTGGCTGGGGCTGACAAAGCAGCAGAGGCGCACCAGGAGCTGGACACGACAGAGCCAGCAAGAAGCAGATGGCCATGCAGAACTGTGAAACCCATTAGCGAGGTGCAACAGCACATCCTGCCCCGAATCCCTCAGAGATGCAGATGCTGTGCTGTACAAGGGGCATCCCCCTGTTGCTTGTTGTGTAGCTGTTAGCACAACCCAGGGCAGCAGCAAGGCCTGACAGAGAATCAACATCGTGACTTGGTTAGTGTTGAGGAAGACTTAGAAATCCTTGGTCCGGCAGCCATTAGAAAGCAGATCACTCCCGAGGCATTAACACCAGATCTGAACAGAGCCAGCCACTGCTCAAGGCACCCCCAGGGCACCCACTTCCCCCCCCCCCCAGCATCTGAAGACCTTTTAATTCCTGTGTTAGAAGAATGGACTGTCCCAGAAACCAGGTAGCAAAAACATCTTTAGGTCAGGAAAAATAGCCAAGGGAGGATAATTGCTTGATGTATGCAACCTCCCACTAGGAAAGGAATAAGCATGAAATCTGAGAAGTGAACCCGAGGAGTCCCTCCAAAATCTCAAGAGAAGAGGGCACAATCACTTGAGACAAACCCAGAGCTCTTGGTTTCCGGGGAGCAAGCAATTACGGTGCCCCGCTGCACAGCGGAGTGTACATGTCTGGAAGCACAGCCTGTGGCAGAACTACTCAATTACACACTACCAAGATCTTCTGGATAATTTATCTGAGATCTGCTGGGCAGATAGCAGTGCACCAGCTCCAGCTCTGCTGGGCCAGGTACTTGCATGCTGTCTTCACAGCTAAGAATAGCAGTGGCGCACTGCAGCTGCTCCCCGAGAGACCAGGAGAATGGCTAAAAAGACAGGATCTCCCACAGCAAGAAGGACCTCAGTGAGGCTGGAAGGCAAGGGTGGGGGGAAATGCACAGCAGGCAACTTATTTGCAATCTCGATCTAATTCCAAGCCTGCCATTTAAGCAGTCTAATCAATACAGCCAAGTTTGAGAAGTCTGAAATGCAGTCCTGAGCTGGCTGCACAAGCAGAGAAGGGGAAGTCACACAGCTCCTTGCAGGCCAGCTTCCCATCACAGTGCTACATTCCCGCAGCTGCAGTTTAGGGGTAACACCAGTGTCTGGAAGTTCAGGGTCTTGAAAGGGCATCGCAGCTGAAAATGGGAAGAGGAGAGCTTCACCTGCCTTGTATAGCTCTTGTTCTCTGGCTACCTGATAAACCGAGGAGTGAGGTTCAGAGAGGTGCTGTAAGGGTTAAGTATTGGGAGAACCCCTTCTTGCAAAAAGGTGTTTTTCCTAGAGCTTGTAACACTGTAATCAGAATGAGGGCATTTCACTGAAAGCAGAACTGCAGCATATACTCTTAGAAAGACCTTTTGGAGATCAGACAGAGATAACCTTCCCTGGGATGCAAGGAATTTGTAAGGGAAAAGGAGCAGCTGTTCAGTGACATCTACCCCTCTCCCCGCCTTTGGAAGATAAAGCTGAGGAAGTCAGCATGATGGAGAGCAGGCAGAGTGTTTGGGCACAGAGCAGGGTGCCATGCTGGAAGCACAGTGGGAACAGTGCAGGAAGCCAGGGAGAAGCACAGAGGAACACTGCTTCAGTGCAGAGGGAAGAGGAGGATGTCACCTCCCTGAGAGGACAGCACAGCCAGACAGGAAAAACAGGAGTGTCACATGCAGTGACAAGGATTTGAGCTAAAGCAGTGAAGAGGTCTGTAAGCAATGGACTTGGGCTGAAAGTAGACAGGGACATCATTGCTGCCAGAAAAGTAATGAGCTGCTGAACAGAGGATAGGTTGGGGCCAGGCAGAAACAAAAGTTTTTAAGACGGAGACTCTGGATGGCAGAGGAGGGCTTGGGCTACGGCAGGATCTCCAGGTGAAGGTGAAGAGAATGGAGCAGAGCCCTGCAGTCCTTTCAAAGGGAGAACAGTACCAGGAGCCTGCCTAGGAGACTGTGCCCATGTGGCAAGCAAAGGAACAAGACATGATCCAGGGTCCCAAGGGCAGTAAAAATGCCCCTCTGCCCAGTATCATCAACAACACTGGCCAGGTGAGTCTGCACCAAAGAAAGTGAGCAGAAAATTGTTGCCTGCTTTGAGTGTGTGGCGTCAGCTTCCAACTGCTGGTCACCTTCCATGGTTGTCAGCTAAGATTAGACTGATTTTAAACTACCTCTTGGAGGTGGATCAAATCAACCTCTTGAATCATTTCTTGGACAAGCTGATAAAAGCGTCATGTACCTCCTGCAAGACTGACTCTCGGTGGCTCTCTAGCTCTCTAACCCTTCTTTGGGTTTCCAACCCTGTCAAGAAGCTGTGCCAGCTTAGTCAAGTTATATCTAACTAATAGCACCGGAGTCTAGGAGTTCAAGGCAGCCAATTCTGTGCCTTGCTTCCAGGCAGCAGAATGAACACTTGTCAATTAATTGAATGAACTGATTGACTCTGCAATGAGTCCAGGTCATCTCTCTCCTGGTTTAGTTATCTGAGCCTAGCCAGCAGAGCTGAGATACCATGGCAGACTTTCCCCTCTATCCCCAGTGCCTTCTCAAGGGAGGCTCCTAAGGAAGTGTCACAACCAACAAGCATCCTGAACAGCCTCAAGAGGCAGCAGGGGACAAGACCGAGTGAGACAGGCGGGGAAGGCATGGCATGGGAAATCTTGCATTTGCACTGCAAGAGCAGCAGAGCTTAAAAGGTGAGCTTGGCTTGAGATCAAGACCAGATCTCTAGGGTGACTGTATCCCAGTGCAATCCAGTCAAAGCCAGAGGTGAAAGACTTCCTGTTACTTCTGCCCCTGAAGGCTCATTGTAAAGCCTTGCTGCAGAGGCCCAAAAAGGGCTTCAGCGAGGCCTCCAGAGCAAGCTGGGGCTGCTGGGGCACCAGGACCAGTCCCAAGCCTGTAAGAACAACAACTTTGCAACACATTACAGCCATGCCAGAGGCTGGCTAGCTGTGAGGGCAGTGCAGAGGGTCTTGGAAAGCAGCCGGACGACTACAGCAAAGCTGACGTGGTTAGGAGAGATGAGATACAGCAAGTCTTCAAGTCGCTGTCTCTGCCACAGACATCTAATGGCAGACAGAAAGAGAATGAAAGTGAGCTTCACACACCCACCTCTTCAGGTCCACGAGTGGGAAGAAACTCCCTCAAAAGTGCAAGAATAACAAAATTAGATTAGCAAAACAGAGATGAGCTGCAAGCTGTTCCTTCACACAAGGAAGGACCTCTAGCAGGCCATAAACTGGCAACTCCTAGCCTGGAATGGTTCCTTTTAATTAGGTCACTGCTTCCTATGCAACATGCTGCACAAGACATATTTCAGAGCACACGGACACGTGCTTACCAGAGGAGAGCCAATACTGGAGGCAGAGCAACAGTCAGGGATCCTTCTCTTTTTTAATACGTAACTGAGATGAGTGCCAAGTGCCCAGCCGCTAGGCTCTCATCCTGCCCTGCACTACCTCCGCTCACCTGCCATATTTCTACACACCTAGGACTATTTGGGAAGCAGCTCATTTGCCAGCATATGCTCTATGCCTCAGATTGAAGCGTTAAGTAGGTACTGTAGCGCAGGCAGACTGTGGCAACCTGGAGTAAAGGGCAGCCCTTCCCACCTTTGCGTGGGAAGTGTTGGCATGGAGTACTTGGCAGAGAGCTGTACTGAGAGCCCTGGCTGAATCCCAGGCAGCTATCTACAGGCTGTGTTAGTGCCGTAACAGCCTGAGCAGCCAGTCCTCTGCGAGCACAACTGTTTTTGATTGCAGCACAGTCATGTGCCAGCCAGCAAGCACATTCTGTGGCATAGTTGTGCAATAATTCCAGAAAACGTTCCTGTAAACAATTCCTGTCCTGCTGCGGTCGCTATCCCAAGTTGTCACATCGCAGATACAGCTTCCAAGCCAGGTGGCTGTAAGGAGCAAGGCATATAGCACACATGCAGCCTTACCACTACCCACAAAATACCCAAAGCCAAAGGACAGCAGCTTCTCTGCCCCTCTCTGCACTCCTTCCAGACCCACACCTGAACCACCTGCAGCCCTACAAAGAAGGCAGCTCTCTTGGACTGTTGACTAAAGCAGATCCTCCACAATTTAACTCCTGCAGATAGCGACTCTTCAGATCACAGTACTTTGGGTTTTGTTTAATTGACTTAGCAAAAGCACATTCAACCAAAGATTATCCAGCTGCTAATCCACATTAGTGCTATGTGCACACACACTAAATCCCTGACACAGATACAGGATTTTCTGCAGTGTCATGGGATGCTTAGGCTATTAGTGTCAAATGCAAACACAGGACATGGTTTGCAAGCCACTACCCATTCACATGCAGGGAGTTTGATTTGATGCATGCTATCTGACATATTCAGAGCCTGTGTTTGTAGAACAAGCAGCACCTTGTCCTACTCTCAAGTAATCCTTGCATTATCTTCATGCATGTTTGCCCTCAGCAGATCTGATGTTACCATTCCATTAGGATAAGCTAGAAAGACTGCTAGAAATTCACCTTTGTACTGCTTTGCCTAACAAGAACCATCCTGGGATTTACAGGTACCCAGGACCTCTGGATCAGAGCAGGACTCAGAAGACGGGCTGGTGAGGCGATGGCAGCAGCAGACTGCTAAGATGGCCTGGCCAGGAGAGGGGCTTGGCTCCCACCAGCTGACTCGGCATTTGTGACTCCTTCTTTTAGGACACCCTAGTTCCCCTCCTAGGCCCTGCTTGTCTCTCTCTGCTGGCTTGCCTTCCTGTTCCCTCCAGAGCTCCCTTGCCTGCCAGCACACAGACTGGGCTACTTATATGAACTACCTGAAGGGTGCCTGCTGGCATTTTACAAGCAACCATTTTTCCTCAACTGCTGCTGCAGTGGTTAAGTGTTTTGTTGCTATGGCCACACAACCAGAGGATTAGGAAGTCAAGTACAGTAGTTTCTTCATCTTAACAGCCTTGGGTGTTAACCTGCCCGCAGCACTGTAGAGATAAAGCTATTTTTGGCATCCTGATCAGTCTCTGCGCTCCAGCCTTTCCATCCTAGTCCCACCATTTTTCAGGGGGTGAAGGGACAGAATTTACCTCTTCCTTCCATCACAGATATGCTCCTTCTCCACACCTAAAATGGGACTCTTCCTTCAGGATGGAAAATGGTGGCTAAAGGTACTGTGATATCCATTACCAGCATGGAGCTCACCAGACAAATTCAGACATTGTCCAGGCAGGGAGATCAAAGCCACATGGAGTGACATAAACCCTCTCTCTGGAGAAAACACACCATGTTCAGGCCCCCAAAAGTGCAAGCCATGTCAGTGTCCGACAAGGCAATGCATCACTCAAGTCCTTGGCTAGCAGAGCCTGTTAGCAGCGTTACCCCAGGGAAGGCAGGCAGGCACAGTCTGCTTGATCTGGCAACGGACTAGGAGGCAAAGGAGCATGAATGTGCCAGAAGACTTGGTTTGAAAAAGAAAGCAGCTCAGTTCAGCTGTTGCCTTGACAATTCCACCCACTCCCTGCAGGGTCTCTAGGCTTACTTCCTCCAGCCTGCACAATGAGAGGAGCAGAGCAAATGCAGGTGACCCCAGAGACCCGAGAGCATACAGGTGTACAGTCTCCACCGAGCATGAGGGTAGCAGGCTAACCATCTTTGTGTGCAGCTGACTTCACCGCTTTGGCTTCACAACTGATTCCCTTCTGCCGTCCCTTTAGTTCCAGGCCATGTAAGGGGTTTGCTCCCCTTTTATTCCCTATACCCCCATCATGTACTTTTTTCTAGCCCAGCCCTTCACATTGCCTTGTTCACAAAAGTTAACAGGGATTGGACTCGTGCAACCTGGCTGCATTGAAGGGCTATAAAGGCTTTGTGCCATGGTAGAAACTATCATAAAGGTCAGAAAAATGTTTAAAGTAGAATTCACAGAACATTTACCTCTTACAATGACAGAATACTGCAACTCCTTCTCAGGGATATTTATTTGGTATAAGGAAAAGCCACCCCCAGGGACTCTGGCCTGGAAGTAACAAGCTTCCTCACCATGCTTGCCTGCTGCCTCAAGCCCTGGGGATGCCAGTTCTGAACACCTGATACCACTGGGCACTAATCATCCAAAAGCTTATAGACACCTCATCCAGACACAGCCAGAGGGAAAGATAATTGCTGGCTTTACCAACTCTGAGCCCCTGGAATGCAGATCCCAGGGACTGTGTGCTCAGCCCCTTCCCGTGGTGCTTTTCTGCCTACTCTGTTTCTCCTCTTTGCTCTCGCAGAGTCCAGCTGAAGCATTATAAACCAGTTCTTCCACAGCATTGCTGCAAGCTCGCAACCAGCCCAGTGCTCAACAGCCTCTCAAGTCTTGGGAATGGCATGAGACCACACACAGGAATTGTAGCACTACAGTCGTGAACAAAAGCAGCCCCCAAGACAAGCTGCTTTCTCTCCTGCATTTTTTCCTTTCTTGGGAGATTTGTTTCGTCTTACAGAGAATGTAGAGGTGGGCCCCAGCAACAACTCAAAAACATCCTATTGATCTCCTTCCCCAGGGAGAACAGTTAGCATCATTTATGAAAACTGTTGGACAGTGATTCTTCTCTGGAATCAAGAACTTGGTAAGAGAGTCTTACACTTTTTCAATGTTTTACTTGTTTGTCATTTTATTTTCCATATGATGAAAGAGTACTAAAATTTGGCTGGTGGCTGTTTCTGAAGGAAATCACTAGAAAAAGACTCACTGGAAAACCTGCAGAGACTACACAAGCGTTTGATGCTGTTAACAGCAACCTCTTATCTAAGAGCCTCTTTATCCCCTGTCGGCCTAAACACATGGTGTTTGCTCCACAGGCTCTGTTCTTTCTTCCCTAGCCTCACTCACTGCTTTGCTTTGCCCTACCACAGCATCAGACTCCGGAAGGGTGCCAGAATATCCTTTGTTACGGCATGAGATTAGGCTCAGGTCCAGCGTCCCCATTCCCCGGTTGCCCAGCAGGAACACACAGCCTTCCAGGCAAAATCCTTTGTGCCAGCACAGCGCTCGCAGCTTGCTCCCAGCAGATTCTACCTCTGCTTGCCACCAGCACCCAGAGTTTTTCCACCCTGCAGTAGCAGGAAGGTCAGCAGGTGGAAAGGGGGACAGAATAGATGCAGAGTGAGGTCTGCTTGGTTTGAAAGGCTTCCTCCCACACACAACACAGCCATTTCAAACCCCTGTGGATGCATTTGACAGAGAAAGTGCTGTGAGGTCCAAGCATGCAGGCTGAAGAGATGCCAGAGCTTGTGGAGTTGAGGCATATGCTGAGCAGAGGCAGAACTGACACTTAGCTCTTATCGGCACAGTTCCTCGCTCCTCTAAATGGGCTGAGGCAGGAGTCTCTGTGTTTAATGGCCAGTGTTTCACACAACATCAGGCCGGAGAGGAACAGGCCTCTTGAGGCTTGTTTGCAACTATAAATACATGTGCTCCAGGGTTCTCAGAGGCGCACAAGTGCAACCTTGCACTCCCGTTACCAGACACTCATTTTGCTGAGAAATGCTCTACTCCGTCTCATCTCACCTGGATCTGGGCACTTCCAGTGGGCTGCTTCCAATCCTCAGGAAGTTATCAGAATGGGTTGATGAGGAGGAGCTGGAGGACTTGACTTCAACCATCCCTGCAGAAGGAAGCCTATCTTCAGACTGCTGCGACCTGCTCCAGAGCACGGCTTGTGGTGATGATGCACAGCTCTTCCTCCTGTGTCATGGAGGACTTGGGTGAGAAGAGAAAGCTGGCTTTCCCATGTACTCCAACTAGGAAGCCTTTCCACAACAGGCTGGATTTTACCCCAGCAGCTACAGGCTCTTGTTCCCACGGAACCTGCCCTCCTCCCTCCCAAGGAACCATGAGTCACGGGTAACCAGCTCAGTGACAGGGGTACACTGAGCTCAACCTATCTTAGCCCATTCTTTTATAGATCACCATCCACGTGACCTGGAAATCAGAGACAGGAGAATGCATCAGCCCACACACATACAGCGATTGCTTTGTTTAGTCTAGCTGTAAAAATACCTCAAGCAAGGGGCCTCCCAGCAGGGAAGGATCATTTCAATCTGCTCTAACTCCACAGAGTGTATCAGCGGAGGAGCTCAGCCCAGGTGGGTGTTTGTGCACACTGATGGGGGTGACAGGGACACACCACCAGTGTAATTTTCCTTTTTAGCGATTCCCTTCAGGCACCACTGACCACACTTCTGGCCACGTGCTCAGAGCTGACAATCATTCTAGATGTAGGTGCATTTCAGTCCTCTCCACGTCTGTGCTGACAGCCCAGACCCGCTCTGGCTTCTTTTCTAGCCGGCATGTTCAGACTCTGGCGTGATTCACTGACCATTGCTGCATCAGGCCTTAGCTCACAGTACCATCCAGCTACATACCAAACAGGCACACATATTTGGGACTAAGTCACGTCACTGCTGCTCCACCTTCAGAAGATTTTCTTTCTTACATCATTTTTTTTTCTGGGAGAGTCCCAAGAATTTTTCCCCTTCAAAAGCCACAGTAAATTGGACAAAGACTTCCCCATTTACACAAGTAAAAAGGAAAAGTCAAACAAACTCAAGGAGAAAAGATGCTGTTCTTCCTGAAATCTGGAAGGGCATCTCAGCTTTGACTTTGATTTTGAGCACTGTCAGCAAGCACAGCTAAAGACAGGCTCATTGTACAGTGGAAAGCACGATATCCTCTCTTCATTTCTTGAAGCGTGTCCACCCTCAAACATCACACCAGAGCTTCTCTCAAGCATTATTCATCTCATGTTATCATAGCTGCCAACATCTCCAAGCACAGCCTGCAGAAACAGGCTTTTGTACAGCTAAAAACCAAACGCCTCCCCCTGCAAGGAGACCTCGAGGCTACCTGCTTTCAGGACAACACAGCGAAGCACATCCCCTCCTCTCTCTACTCATGCTATGCACTGCCCAGCTCACTCAGCTTATAGCAAGCCATACCTATTCCCCAGACTACATGGCCGCAACAGCCTGCAGCAAGACATCTGTGACCAGTCCCCTCGCTAAGCACTCATGGCATGGCTCACAACCTTCCCTTCCCCAAGCTCATGCCCACAGCATGGGCCCAAACCATCCCTGTGGTAGCAGCAGCTACCCTCAACACAGCCCGATGTCTCTAACAGGAATGAAAGCAAACCAGAGTTAGAAAACACGTCATGGAATCAAGCCCTGATGCACACAAGTGCAGCAGATCTCTTCCAGCATGCTCTGGGCACTTTGTGTCTTGTGAAAATCACGTATAGGTTTTGTGCGGCAGGATCTAGTCTGTATGTCCTGAGCATTTAGAGGAACATAAATGCTTCCAGTTTACTACCCTGCAAGCCAGGCAAGTGGGAAGTTGTTCTCCACTTGCTGCAGTCACCTTGCTGTGGATAGGTAGGCTCTGTGTGTTAAAGAGGACTCTGTGCTGCTCACTTGGAAAACACAGTTTGGGACTCCCCATCTCCATTTTGTGATTCTGCAGGAAGATTCTCTCTTCCCTGCTTCAGCATTTTATAAACTGAATCACAGTGTGCTTTAGAAAGGCTGCTGCCACTAGCATGGCTGCAGGCTCAGTCCCAGAGGACTTCCAACTGCCTCCAGCACAACCTAGATTTAATTTAAAATAATTGCAATATAAAATAGCGTCTTCACATGTGCTGAGGGAAAGGAGAGAAAAATTAAACTGAGAGGGGCAACCCTACAGCAAGGTTCTGAAATCCCTAAACAGCACCAGAAACTCCAGAAGCAAGCACAATGCCTGTCCCAGAGCATCAGTCACCAGACACCTTCCCCGGCCCCCACTTCCAGACAACCACCTGCATCCCCAGGTGAGTCCTATGTGACCCTCTGTCAATAGCGAGCACTGAGAATTTCATGTTCTCCCCCAGAAGTATCTCTAAGCAGCGCTGCAGGCAGCAACCTGCTTTCAGCTCACACACCTTGTTCTGTTAGAGGGGCTGAAGTTTAGAGGGGATTCTTGCCCACCCAGCCCACCTACCACTAACTGCAGAAGCTCCCCTGTACAATCTCTTCCAGAAACTGATTAAGCTTCACTTTAGGGCAGCTAAACTGTCTTCACTTTTCCCTGGGGAGGCTGCTGCCAAATGTAATTTTTCTGGTAGTTTGGAACCACCTTTTAAAACTAACAAAATCCTTTCTGGATGAAGTTTAACCGTGAAACTGGTGAAAATGAAACAAAGCTGATTTACTCTCATCAGGGGGTGAACTTCAGGAGCATCCCCAATGAAGTGTGACAGTCTTTAACATGGGGCAGTCTCCAACTTTTGGTGCAGAAATTCTGTAGCACAAGCTGCAGCAAAGGTTCTGACAGCCAAATTCCTCCCTCCACTGTAAGGAACCCATGCCACAGAGAGCAGACCTGGAGGGCGAGGGACTTCAGAAATATTTTTTCGACTGTGCTCAGAGCCTGTCCCTTTTGTTCTGCAGCCCACTGAGTGGTTATCTCCTCACCATGCTGCTTGAGCCTGTGCTCCTGCTGGCATCAGCTCCACTGCTTCATAGGTGAAGCTCCCAGCTGCTCCAGGGGAACTTTCCATCCCCAGGGAGAAGTCGCTGCTCAGACTTGTGGTGCTGCCTCGGTCTCTCTGCTCTAGAAAAGAAAACAGCTACCTGAAGACCAGCTTGGTTTCGATCACTATCTCCCTTTAAGCAATACACTTCCCACATGCCCTGGGGCTGCATTCTTGTGAGGTCCCAAGGGAGGCATAGCCATTTGTAGTCACCTTGATGCTGGGAACCCAAGCCCCCAAGCGATCAACCATTACCAGCACCCAGGGGTGCTGATGCTTGGCAGCAGCACTCACTGAGCATGCAGATCTCTTCCAGGGTGAAGCCAGGTGGCAAACTCTTCCTTCTGGGGAAGGAAAGACAAAGTTATTTCAGCCACGCTTCAGGGCTGCGTGGAGGCTGGCCATAGCCAGATCTCTGTAGCACACAGTGGATCAGAGCAGTGGGGAGGTAGCTGTGCAGGGGCAGAGGGGAGGGGATGGGGCCGGTGTGCAGTATCTGACTCTCCTAACAGTCCCAGCCCACAGACCCTGCGCTTGGAGAGGGTGGCAACAGGCTGCAGGCAGACATGTGCTTATTCAGAGCCTCCAGGGTGGGCTTTGTTTCTTTCTGCCCCTCCTGAAATAGGAAGGAGTTAATATTTAGCAGTCCATTAAAAAAACAGCCACCCTGCCTCCTGCTCCCCCCCCAGCAGTGCCTGACGGAGCTTGCTGCGCAGCCTGCTTGAGCCAGAGCACACATCTCTGAGTTCATCCGTGCTAAAGCAGCCACGGACAGTCATTAAGCAGAGAGCACATTTCAGCATGGACAGTTTTTCAGAGCACAACGTGGCACCTCACAAGCCTCGGCCCCATTTTGCAGCCTTCAGAGTGCAGAATAAATTAAAGAAAACTGGGCCAGGACACCAGGGCTTCCATCTCCCCAAAGGAACAGCACTAACAAGCTCCCTGGCTCTGCAGCCCATGCAGCAGCAGGCACAGGCTCCTTACCTCTGCGACTTCACAGCAGAGAACTCCTCAGAGGTGATGTGCTTCAGAAAATTGAAGCAGAAAAAGAAAATCTGAGCAAAGGGAGAGAGAAGA